AATTGGTAATTCGCCCCATACCTTTTTTAAAAATAGTATATGGTTTATTTTAGAGATTTAAAAAAGCCATAAAATGTAATTCACTAAAACATTCAATTTATTATTAAATTAATATTAAACTATTAGAGAAATAGTTTTGTGGATCTCGAATAATGAAAAATATGTAAGTTTTTTTACATCATCAACACTAATTATGTTTTTACGATTTTTGTATCTATATCAGGCTCTGATGGGGAGTAATTAAATTCGAAATTGGTGAAGGCATGTTAGTACATTTCTTTAGCATTATTTTTAAGTACTTTTATTGGACTGAAAGCAATTTAATGTTATGAAAGTATACCATTAAGATATGCATAAAAGTGCACTTTGTGTTTACCCCTACTTTTGAAACTGTCACAGCTCTCCCATGGTTCACAAGCAATAAAATAAATATACAACATAAAATAAACAATAATTACTTTATGTGAAGTATATTTTAATGTGCGAAATGTATATACTACTTAGCTTCTGTTTAAAAAATATCTATATAGATTACTATGTGTTTTGGATATAATTTCTTTTATTACGATTTTTACTTCCTGTAAGGGAAGTATGTGGGTGCAATAAAATTATGATATATGTTTATCCGTATTGGTTTTGTCTCTACTTAAATAACTTAGATCTGCTTTCACCCAAGCGCGATAGAAATACTTTCAATTGAAATTTTGCCGCAAATATTTACGTTCTACTCTACTCGGTAAAACGAGTACAGAAAACACAATAGAATAAGTTATATTGTTACAGTAAATATAAAGGTATTTATTTCGTTTTCTGAAATTTATTTTGTTGATCCTTTTTGTAATTGAAAAGGGACTTATTGTATAACGATTATTATCTTTCTATTAATTACAGTCGAAATATTTTTTTTGTCGTTTCAGAATCAATAAAAAATACACCAGCTTTATAATTAATAGAGAAATGGTAATTGTTATATAAATCATATATTACAATTATATTCTTTTACTGTATTTTTTATATTTTATGTTAATTTCCTATATATAGAATTAACTTTTAAATATTCGTCATAAAAATGTTATTTTATAAGCGAAATTCATGTTCAGTGCTTCAAATTATACATATGTATATGTAGGTACCTAGTAAAGAGAGTCTGCCTTTTGGTAGACAGATGGTATATTGTGTATGATCGTAAAGAAAAGTCGTGAATAGTCACCATAAATTGATCCACCTGCCTCAATAAGGTATTGAGCTTTTGTATCGAGTTGTTGCAATTCGCCACCGCTTGCCGTAAACCAATTTGTGCCCGGAAGCGTCTAGTTAGGGGTGCGTGACGTCACAAGACTGGTACGTGGAACGCGATGGCCGAGGTAAATAACCTATGGGTGTAGGGTTACCAGACGATATCAATTTCCGAGGATACTAACCTCGTTAGGAAAAAAACTGGTACAGCTAGGATTTTATTATATTAAGAAACATACGAATAGGAAAATTTTAAAACCCAAACCGCTTAACATACGTAGAACTTCATCTTTTTATGGAAACCGTGTCCTACAGTGGGATGGTAGTAGATTATCGGAGATACAATAACGGGGTGAGATGATTGTTCGTCATTACTAATAATCATGATATACAATTATATGTATTGACGATCTGTGTGGTCTAGCGGTCTAGCTCACCGCTTTACGTTCGATGGTCGCGGGTTTCGTTTCCTCGCATGGCACAAACATTTTGTATTCATGAGTACGATTGTTTGTATCAGTCTGGGTGTTTTCTATGTATGTATAATATGTATGTACTTATAAAAAAAAAATATCTATATATTTGTATCAGTCATCTAGTACCCATATCACAAGCTGTGTTGGGTCTAGATGGCGCTGTGTGAATTGTCGTGAAATGAATGATTATTGATGTATAATAATGTGACCCCATTGCTAATAATGATAATCATAAAATGTTCTCCTAGCTTCAATTAGCCGTCAGTAGGTGAGAACCTGGTGACCTGTATAGACCTGACACAGAACATACCTAAATCAGGCACCAGACTTTTAATAACAAATGTACTTATCTTTTAATTACATTTGTAAGAAATGAAATAAAAAAGTATAGGTACTAATCATCAATTTGAATTTCACGTGGTTCTGGAATATATTGCAGTTATTTCCTAGTAAATTCATGAAAATTAAATGAGCATGAAGTCAGGTCAAAGTGAATTAGCTAAGTGACCTGACTTCATGCTCATCTTTCAGAGTCGATTGGTACCTCGTATACCTTTAGCGCAGGAACGATGCGCCATTCAATTATCATCCATAAAAAAATATATCTACTCCTAAACCCAATGGCAATATGTTGTTGAAATGTAACAAAGTAATACAAATCGTGGCCTTCACAATACAAGAATAAGTTGTAATTACTATCCGTAATGTCGTTAAAATAGCAGTAAAACATATATAAAACTTTATTGCATGGTGTCATGAGAATACGGTCTAGCAAATGATTTTAATTGCAACCAACAATGTATGATCGAGCTCAACCATAAAGATTCCTACAATAAGTACATAAATATACGTATACATTACATGAAATCATTGTTGCAAATTAACAGATAGTATTAAACATAGTGGAAGTATTTAAAAATTAGTTAGGAAATCGTCACTTAAAATCTTAATAAGATTTCAAATGTATAACTAATACATAACCCTGGATAATTAACACAGCGCCATCAAGTCCCATGTTAAGCAGAGCTGTGTTATGTGTACTAGATAATTGATATAAATACTTAGATTATTGTAGATACATACATAACATACATAGAAAACACCCAGACCGTTTCAAACAATCATACTCATGAATACAAATGTGTGCACCATGCGAGGAATCGAAGCGACGACCATAGCAAATAAGGTGCTGTACTAAACCGCTAGACTACCGAGGTCGTCATGTGTAGAATAATACATAAAACGGGAAATAGACCAAGGATAGTTTAGATTGGTATCAAAAAGATCAAAAGAGGAAACGAGGGCGACAGAAACACAGGTGGGATGAACGGCCGTAGCTGTATGATATAAGGACCAACATGCAGAAGGAAAGTGTTGGACAGAGGAACATGGAGTCCATTAGAGGAAGCCTATATCTTAGGACAAGCTGACGAACTGACACAGTGAAATAGCAACAAACAAGAACAACATTAACTTGACTATCAGTATAAAGGCTATAAATAAAATAAATAGATTTAGACTTAATTCTTCTATACGTGTATTTGTTATTTAACTGATCCTAAATAGCTGAATTTGGATAAAATATTGTGTTGTGTACAAACACAGGGTCTTCCGATACCTACGAGGATGCAGGTGGGGGCGGACTCCTTTGCCCTGGCATCAACTCCGGAGGCAAAAACCTCCGAGGGACTGGTTTAACAGCCTCTTGTATGCAGGAATTAAAAAAGTATTAACAGTAATAGATACAAGAAATAAAGGAATAAAAATTACACAATATGTACAAGTTAGCTTAAGATCTATTGCCATATTTGGATTATTATTTCAATTTTCTTTGTGAGTTATTCTATGTATACTTTTTGATGTTTTAAGTACAATTGCAGTCGGTAGGTGGCGCTGCTCTTCCGGACAGTATGTCGTCTATCAGGTATCATTATAAATTATCGTCAACTCATTAAACTGACTTGTTATAGATGTTCTAATTTTATATGTTACTGTAATCTTTCAATTACCTAAAATTAATTACATTAATACATACAGTATTTATAAACGAGTTGGGGCGGCGCATTGTCGACAGAGGCCATGATCGACGTTCCGGATTGTATCTGGCGCAAAGGATTTCCCTAGCAATTCAACGTGGAAATGCTGCGAGCGTTATGGGAACCTTTAAGCCGGGTACGATACGGGACAATCATAGCAATTAACTTTTAGGTTTCTTTTTTTTGTGTTTTTTTTTTACTGTAATTGTCTAAAATAATTGAATATTAAAATAGTAATTAAAAATTACAGTGATATCAATCATCAAAGATCTTATGATGTGAATTTGCAAGAAAAGGAACATCTTTTTACAATTTATCGTCTATCTATACCATGTTAGTAATGAACCAAAATAGTGCAGTGATCATGAATGTCTTGCCTTGATCCCATTATTTGGGGTAAACGCAGTATGTCATCTTCTTCCACTGGTACTTATTGGGCGTTATATCAGAGGATACTCACCTTTTATAAATACAATAGAGTTGGTGGTTTCTAAATTTTATCTGAATTTTAAGTTGCATTTTTAGAACAAACTAATCTTTGCTTTTGGTTAAATATTTCAATGTATAAATCACTTTTATTTAAATGAAAATCAGAAATGAAAATCTGAAGCTATGGATAAAATTATACCTAGATAATAAGAAAATAAGTAGCCATAAAAATTTTAATGTAAAGGTTATATTTTTTTATCTAAAATTTATTGTTTGGTAATGTACATATATATAATACGAATAATATAGGTTTATAATACTAATAATGTATCTAACTTTATAATGTAAAAACGCATTCACGCACGAAAGTTACCGATACACAATGGATCATGGAATAAAAATATCATTACTAATACTATAATTACTAACTAAATTATAATTACTACCTTAAACTAACTAAAACTATAATTACTAACTAAATCTGTAGTTTCTACTACTAATCTTAGAAATAGTCCCCTTACTCAAGTCATGGGTGTAATTACTACTCCAACATTGACATCATAAATTATTTTAAGCCTATAAGTAATATGAAAATGCTATATTCAATTTTAATTAATGTAAAGATTAAACTTTAAACTGAATGGTAATGAATACCATATGCAAAGAGGTATTATTGAGATAAAAATAAAATTCAATATTAATATATATGTAATACCTTTTTTTAAATAAATAATATATTTAGTAAATTATAAATTGCCTGTCATGACTTGATCTTGGTATTACATATGTGTATACATTTTTTAAATGAGTTGTTAGTACTTACCATCATTAGCATTCGCGCTGCCGTCGGCTGACCGCTCCGAATCGTCACCACCAACCAAATTCCTTATGCTGAACGAATTTATCTTTCTTGATGTTGTCACTTCCGTGGTTACCCCCGTGACGTCATACCCGCTGTCCGTTCCATTCACTAGTTCCCGGCACATCTGCGCCGCTCCGTTCAAATGCACCGAATCCGGTGGAACAGTTGCGTCTGCTTCCCCACGCCGTGTCGTAAGGTCCATTTTCTAATTGATTACAATCACTGAACAATTTCAAATTTGGAACAGCGTTTTTGTTTACGTTTGACATTTTACTCATACCTTGACAGTTCGATAGTTACGTCAAAAATGGAACGCATTTTAAATTCGAGTCACTGTTATTTATCACCAGTTATTTCTTATGAAGTGCCAGTACAATAACATTGCATAATCCGTTTTGCAATACCAATTAGATACTTCTGAAAATTATATCTTTTTTAATTTGTTTAATTTTAATAGTCCATAATGTAAGTCACTCAATAATTACGTCATCTATATAAATAATAATAGAAATATCCTGTTCCGTCACGGAAGCACGTTGGGTTTACCGTCGGCTTTGCAATATGCGAATTCGCGTCAGTAGCGCTAAAACGCGCAGTAACTCCGCGGTGGCGATAGCGACTGGTCCTCTTACCTCCTCAGCCATGGCACTCGCGCGTCCCTCCCTACGCCTCCGTGGGCGGAGTCACACGCCCATGTCGGCTTCATCGCATAATCATCGTGAATCTCGCGACTTTTTAGTCGTCAATTACGACAAACTCGCGACTTTTTACCCACAATCGATTTGTTTTAATGAGCTGTAATTGCTCATTGATACTCTTACACGTTTGGATCGTAATCTGTTACAAAGTCGTTTATAAGTAACTCAATGCTTTTAAATGGGAATTGTACTGTATAATGCCTACTAATTATGGGAAAAGTATTTCATATAATAGAAAAATAAAATATAGGAAAATATAATTAATGGTAGATAGTCTATTCTGAACTTGATATAAAAAAAATATATATTCGCCGATTTTGTAAATTATTGTGTTTAACATTTACCTTTATTATTTATTAACTGTTTATTGCAGAGTAATAAGGTACAAAATGCGATGTTATCGCTACAGTAATCTCTTCCGGACAATCTTTGGGTAGAGGAGAAAGGTTGTAGGTAGCGCATGAATATATATAATAATAATGTTACAACATTATAATAATACTTAACACAGATTTATACAAATAAACAAAGTTTAAGTGTCTGTTTGTAATTTGAAATTAGCAGCTATTCACTAAATACACAAGAAAGTAGATATATATGGTGTTTACATAAAAAAAATGTCTGTTTTTTCTTGCTAATCTCAGATATGGGTGGACCGATTTTCACGGGATTAGTATTATGAGCAACTTAGGTTGCTTTTTTTTATACTATTTAAAACAAAGTTGTTTTGAACGCGGACCAACTCCCGCAAAATCTTCATCCATTCATCATCTAAGGGCCATGCTCTTGACGGTAGAGCTCTTATCACTTCCGGCGATCGTCCACCATTGACCTTAAATTTTGATATGACATATATATTGTCCTTCATTTATTTCATATAACTATTAATTTACATAAGTCGTTAACATCTATGTTATGGATTTACGTCAAATTCTCCGAAATTGGAACGCAGGAAGTAAACCACGGATGTCACATGATGATGATGTGAGGTCCTTTTTATTAGAGCTTCGCTGCCGGTCAGGGAACTAAATTGAAGAATATTCTTAGGAGCGATGCTTTTTATCTCCTCAGGGACTTTCCTGAGGAGCTAGGAGGAGGAGATGTGTACATTCCAAAGGAGGCGTTTTGTTTATGCAGTAGTGGACAAGCACATACAATGTACTTATATAGTAACATTTCCTCTTCCATTTGGCAAAATCTGTTTGTTGAGAACTGACCTAAGTTTACAAAGTGTTTATTTAATTTACAGTGAGAGTTCTAGTCTGATATGATGAAAATATTGTTTTTATTAAATAGAATTAGTCTATTAAAGTATGGGTTGGGAGTAGGCCGTAATTAGGGCTTTTGAATAATAATCCTGGGTATTTCTGATATTTTTTTTTTTATTAAAAAAATAAATCTGACAGTATTTTAGTACTTCCTGCTTAGTTATTACTTTTAGATATGCCATCTTTAGGTATACGTTACACAGGCCACAGAATGTGAGTTTATATACATATATCTAGAAAATACCATTTACCATGGTAGAGAGCTGCTTTGCTGTCCACTTACTTAAAGATAAAATTCCATCATAACTTTGCTTTTGAGGAATTCTTTTTTTTAACACCACGGTAACCGTTAAATGGGCTGTATGCTTGTTACCTGCACAAGCATACAGCCCATCTGACATTAAACGGTTACAGTGGTGTTGAAGATTGTGGAGAAAGATCCTAAAGGAATTGTGTACTTTACATTTAGAATGTTATAGGACAGTATATGCAACCGTAATAATTGCAAATACATTTATCATTGCATTGCCGCAGGATAAATTGAGATAACGTGATGTCTAGTGGTTTTAGAATTGATGCTGACTGTGTATTATATAGGAATATAACTCTGTAAATACATATCCATATTATGTGTAGGGATGTCATAGTTAGAAAATTTCATAATCATGAAAATTAAGTATTACAGTATTTGCGGCGTGGTGTCCCCGATGTTTGCGGGTTCGATTCCTCGGACAAGCAGCAAACGTTTGTATTCGTGAGGATGATATTTTGTATGGGTCTGAGTCTCTGTTATTTACAATTTCTGATATTGACAATCTAAGAGTTGAGAAGCTTACTTAGAAGCTTTGCTTCAGTTGAGACTAGATGGCGCTGTGTGCATTGTCCCTGATTATTATTTTTATTTATTGGTTTCTTAAATAGGCCCTGTATATTTTAGATGAATGCTTAGTTTACTTTACTGATTTAAGAAAAATCTCGAAAGATATGTTTTAGGCGCTCCTACGAAGTAACAAGTCGGAATATGTACTTAATTTCTCATACAAACTTTTATACCCCTTCTTATTTCTCGTTTACATCTTAAAAAAAGTCTTTTTAGGGGAAAGAGAACAACGACTTAGTTAACTTAACTACTTAACTTTATATGACATATCTACATTGTAGATAAATATTAACAACTAGATACTCGCCCCGGCTTCGAACGGGTGTACATGTATTATACATATAAACATTACTCTTGAATCACTCTAACTATTAAAAAAACTGCTTCAAAATCCGTTGCCTAGTTTTAAAGATTTAAGCATACATAGGGACAGATAGTGATAGCGACTTTGTTTTATACTATGTAATGATGATATACCTTCATGACTAATTTCCCAGAGGCAGTAGTCAGAGAAATAGTCAATCGAAAATATCGTGGTTGCTGTAAGAATGGTGCAATGGGTTTTTAAATACAATATGGCAGGCGCAAATCTACCACTTTCCCTTGATTTAATTAATTTATTAAGGCAGTTTCACCACAAGAGAGTTAGTCAAAAATATAAATTGACACTCGAAAGTTTATGGTGCCAGATTCGAACTCACTACCTTTAAATTCCATCTTGGGGTGTAGGTAAACGATTGAGCCCCGGCGCTCGTTTAGTACCATGTTAGAGTTGATTAATACAGTCTTAATAACAAATGGCTTTAGAAGACAACCCTACATTATTAAGGATACATATCTTTATAGTAGCCGTATCTACATCGGAGGTACAATGTTATAAATTCTAGTTAGGAGCCAATCCAGCATTTTTGCCGCGGGCTACTGTTTTATACATTAGCATTATTTGCTTTACCCGAACAGTCGGTTAAAACTATTATACAAGGTGTAACGAAAAGTTAAATAAAAATTAGAAGTTTTCACAATGAGTACTCATTGGGGGCATGGTTTATTTCATGATAAGGTAGTGTTAATAATGAGAATAGTAGCCTCATTGCTAGAAATATTCCATGTTGGGTCGATCTCTACGTGGTCCCTTCTGAAAACATCGTGGTAATTCTATCATCTTTCACTGGTGCTCCGCAAGGGTATACCGTTAGCGTAAGTGGGAGCACCATTACATTATCATCCCATCCCAAATTTGTATTGCAATAGCACGGTGTTTCACAATTAGTGGTATGCGTACCCCTAGGGGTACGTGAAGTTGCACGGATAGCCGCACGTACCCCTTGTACGTGCGGCTATCGGTAAAACAAACACACACACACTCACAAACTTTCACATTTATAATATTAGCGTGATTGCTACAATAAGGGGTACAAGGTTTGAGGTCTTTTTTGAAGTGGTACGCAGTAAAACGTAATTGGGAACCACTGTAGTAGCATTTGTAGCACCATATTCTTTTTTGCCTAATGGCACTTTACAGATTTAGCCAATGCTCAAGTGTAGACTCGTTTACCCGTATTAAAGCATCGAGACTAGCTGTAACAAGCTATTTTGTTTGCACAAATTAACCCCTATTTCGTTCTCTCCTGAAATATTTTTTGAGATAAAAGAGTTCGACTGCTTTTTTGAATAAGATATAGTCTATATATGTATGTGTGTACTCATAATATAGTTTATCTTCATATCAAATTTTATTAAGATCCGTTCAGCCGTTTAGTTGTAAAAAGGTAACAAATAGATATACAGACACTTTCCCATGTATAAAATAGTGTGGATTGTATTACAAGGCAGGACATAAGCTGTCTCTTATCTAAAAAAGCAAATTAATTTGTAGATACAGATATATATTGTAGTAGTTATTTGGTATTAATGTGCAATGAAAATTTTAGAATTATTTGTCGCGCCGCTAGTACCTAAGTTGAAACATTTTCATTGTTCGAGGGAAATTTAATGCAATATGAAGGTGAATTAATTGATGTGATATAAATCTAAATGTACATTACACATATTGCATTTTCCAATAAAACATGGTTTATGTGACAGTAGATGTTAATTAGAATGTAACAATGCACAGTGCATTTAAAAAATTGATTGTTAATATTTGAGAACACATTCGCGTATTACATTTTCAGTCTGTGTGACATGAGTATGAAATAAGTATTTAAATTTAAAATGGACTTCAATTCTTTCATTTTAAGAAATTTGTTCAAGGGAAGAAGTTCTACAATAATAATAAATTTCTTGGATAATTCATATAGCGCCTTTTAGTCCTAAGTTGGGCAGAGCTTCTGTTATACAACTTTTTTTTATAATTACATAAATAATATACATAGAAAACATTCATATCATTCACAAACTATCATTCACATTAATTAAAATGTTTTCATTGTACATGGACAGGAACCCGTGATCATCGGAAGTAAGGCAGCGTGCTTAACCACTAGACCACACACCATCGAGGCTGTCAAATATTATTATTATTAATTACTATATTTTGTTACACACGATAATCATAAATTTATATTACATAGGTACAACTATGCTGTGAAACTCCGTAAAGATAATGTCCCATCAAAACCGAACCACATGGCAACACTATAAGCGCCGGCGCACACAAAGTCGCCGAGTCAGCGGGACGCCGGACTCAATTATACCGCGCTCCAAAACTGATTCTATTTGTATGGTAATGCACTCATTACCAAATACAAAAAGGGCGGA